GAGAGAGAGAGAGAGATTTAAAACCATCTCAACATGTAATGGAGGAGATCAGCTACGTCATGAAGAACAAAAGCCCCCAACATGGGACAATCTAACAATCAGAGCAGGACCTTCTACCAACCACTTATTCTCTCAACCAACCCAGGTCTGATGTTAGTCTACACCTGATTTTACCTTGATCCCACAGAGCACATCTCTGTCTCACCCAAAAGAAATCCTCAAAAGAAATCGTTCATTTTCTCTTGTTACAAAAAGTCAGAAAAACTCTAATTAGAATTAAATACTCAAGAGGCTGACAAAGATAGTCATCTTCTATTAACATGTTTATGAAACCCTTCATTGATGTAAAACCACTGAATGAGGGAACCCACCAGAAGCCATTTTTGTTTTTAAGAGTGGTCTGGGCCAGACCAGCACAGACCCAGAAATGCTGATTTCTGTCCCTTTAAAATAAAAAGTTATGTAGCTCTACTTGAAGACAAAGTCTGATCATACAATGTAAATCCAAAACAGCAAGTCGTTAGTTCAGGTGACTACACATAACAATATGTTCATTATTCTACTCAAGAGTTCTACACTTCTGTTCTGTGTCATTGTCACATTTAATTCTCCTTATACATTACCATCTTAGAAGAAGATATTCATCACAACCTTAATGGAGTGGAACCTGAGTGGAGGTGCAGAGGTAAAATATATGAATATGAACACACATAGACCTGTGCAGTACGGAGGTTCTGGGGCTCAGGGTTGTGCAGGCCCGGCCTCATGGGCAGCTTCCCCAGGCCAGGAGAGCTGTGGATGGGAGGAGGCTGAACAGAGGAGGCAGCGTTCTGGACCACCGGGACCTGCCAACATCACAACATTAACAGTGCAATAAAACAGACACTAAGACACTAACATGAGTGGTTGTCTTTTAACTTTAAATTTCATAGTATTTTTCAGATCACAATAACAGCCAGTCTGAAACAATCAGAACAATAACTTTACTTGCTTAAGATTAATTTATTATCTTTTACATTTAATAATGATCACACAAGCTGCTTTTAGACATACACTAAACTTCTGACATTTTTTTGAAAGGGGCTGTATGTATGAACACACTTGAAATTTTCTGGAACTTTTCCTGCCAGCCCCCTAGGAGAATGTCAGCAAAATTAACAGTGAGCGAGTGGGCATGTGGATGACGTTTCTAACACGTGATGGATGCAAAACTGAAAACAAAATAATATGCACATTTCTCAAGGACAAAAATAGGTGTGCCATGCACATACAGGATGAAGATGATAACTTGGAAAGATGAGATTCGAGAGCTTTTGGTGATAAGGGCTGACGCCAGTGCTGATGTGCTGTAGACTAAATAGTATGATGACAGCAGAATTAATATATCATGTCCTGCCTCCTGCATGGTCCACCCTGATGCCACCCCTCGTCACCCCTCCACTCCTTGGGACATTTTTGTGATGTTATGAATGCATCTGACCTGGACAATGTCCCACTGCATTCTTCATATGTGAAAGGCTACTCAGGACAACCTGAGAACTCATAGTTCATGTCTGAAAAAAGCTGTGCACTCACTTGGCAATTTAAAAGTCAGTCTAATCCAACAGTCCTGCACTAAATCGTCCTCTACAAGTTTATAATGTTCTTTTTTATTTGAAGTAGTTTAAGAGGTGTGGATTATTGTGAGGCTGCAGTTTGTGCAGTGCATTATACAGAGGTGTTTCTGTTATTTAGCCTACCCTGACATGAGCTGGACAAAAACAATACCTCTCTGTATATGCAATACTGTTCAAGTAGTAATCTAAATGTTGGGATCAGTTTTTCTTTCTTGCAAACAGCTATTTTTTCTTTTTTTTTAATATAGGATCAATATCAATGTAAAGACACGTCATCCTAGCTTGAGTTATGCCAGAATCAGTCCACACAATATTAAGTCTATACACACAGTTGATGTGTCAGAGAAGGAGGGATTCAAAGAGTCATTCATTCCTGCTGTGACTTCAGTATAAAGCAGTGCACCCTGTAGGGGCCTTGACCCAGAGGTTGCTGTGACTTGTTTTAGGAACCGACATTGCGGTTCTACTTTCCAGCACCAACATCATCATTCGTCTATTACAACAGATGAGAAACCTGTTTTCCTACTGGTCAATGTCATGAAAAACAAAAGAGAGAAGACAGACACATTTGTCTTTTTATCAGGATGTCATTAGACATATGAAAGGTATATAGGATGAAAGGTGCAACAGTCACTCCGCTCTCATCTGCTCATCCAGGCTCGTAGTCTGAGTATATTTCAAGTACACAGGAGATTGTTTTTAAGGCTGTAAAGCTTGCCAGGTGTCCTGGTAATTGTAATATAAACGCAGGTCGTCCACACAATATATTGGTGGTCACACCTTCAGATCATACCAGCTTCCTTCAAATTTCACCTAAATACACAAATTAGTGAGCAAAAGTGTTCACATTAATCCAACTGCAGCAAAAATGTGCCCTTTGAGCCTTCAGGCATAAAGTAGCTTAGTACCAACATGTCATCTATACACTGTAACTCTGCTCAAAGAGCGGAAAAAACAGCATGGAGAGGCTTTGAATGAACTATGAAACAAATTACAGAAAAGGAAACAAATAACATTATAACTTCCCCTTAGTTTAAGCATCGATTCCATCAACTGGGCATAACAATTAAGTGAAGGCTGCAGTATTTACAGTTGATTCCCACTTTTCAGTGTTGGTTGAATGCTGATTTACTACCACTGACCCAAAGCCCTTTTATGAGAATTTAACTCATCTGTGAGCATAACTCTCTCAGAACAAGACCAGTTCATACATGTTTGTTAATGGCAAACTGCTGACTCTTTAGGGCTGGTTGCCAAATGACACTTAGAGGCGTTTTCTATGCTTTGAAAAAGTTTATATTTTAGTCAGACCAATAGAAACAAACTGATTCCTACAACTTAAAAAAGTAATTCATAAGATCTAAAATAAGATAGGGGTGTTCAGTGTCATACAGTACGTGATATATGTTGTACAGAGACATTAACACAAAAACACACTGTCATGAGTGTATATCAATGATTTCCACTAGTGAAGCATCAGGGGTGGTAATGCCACATGTTTTTTCAGACATGACCTGTGGATAAAGTCCAGAGAATGGGGTTCGGACTTTACGCACAGTTTACTTTTCATACATGCTCAACGCAGTGGGAGGTTCTCTGCACAGATGTGTTCACAACAGCAACAAATCCTCCACATTATTCAGGGAGAGGTGGTACAGCTGGGTGCAGCAGGCAAAGGCAGGAAGTGACGTAATAATCACGTGATTTTCTTGACAACACACAGACACCAGTGTCTGCTCTTGTCTCCACAAACTCAGTGGACATCTACAAAAAGGCCGCAGATAATCCACAGGCTCTCACTCTGACATTTGCATTCACACCTCCTCTGTAGAAAGTGCAGAGAGTCAGTGCATGTCTGAAAGCAGCTACAGTGTAGTGTAGTACTCATACCATGTTAAAACTATTCCTAACTACTCCTGCATTAAAGTTTTTAATGAGGTAAAAGTACACAAGTAAGCACAAACATACACTGAAGGTACCAAAGATAATAGCAGTCATACTGATACATCAATATCAGCCTAAAAAATGCAGGGTTTCATTTTTCAGATACCTAACACCTGAAGCTAAACCAATAACTAATTTCTTTTCAGAATTTTGATACATCCCATTTGTGAAATAGATCATAACTTCTGTGAACTGTTTACTTGTTTACATACTGGCTTTGATTTTTAGTGTCTATTCTACAGATATAGATATTGAAACTATGGTAAAAAGTGTCAGTTACATAAACCCAAGAAGGCTATTACAGTCTAACAAACAATAATCACAGCATCATAGTGATCATAGTGCCTGTAGTTCCTCAGTTCTTTTTTAAAATTGAAACACTATATTGTTGGGGTGTACGATATTTATCGTCTATGATAATATCTTTTAAGTTTTAACGATGTGCAAGCTCATGTTATCAAGTATTGGGTAGAGCCACACGGAGTGTGTGCCCCTCTCCACCAGCCCCGTGAGTGAGTGAGCGAGAGCCAGGAGCCTCGCACAAGCTCCACAGGCTGAGCTGCGGTGTGCAAGGCCTGGATACAGGCACAGGGAGCGAGCGTTCCTCTCCACCAGCCCAGTATTTGATGACAATAAATCATTTTTCCAGCTCTCTAGAGATCACAGAGCCTGCCTTCTCATTCACAGTGTGTGTATACGTGGGTCTCTCAGCCTTATCCCTCTCTCTTTTTCCTTCCCTCTCTCCCTCCCTCCCACACTCACTCAACTCTCATTCACCCACTCATTCCGGACAGAGAGCCCGGCCAGGCCAGGCTCCACCAGCGGTCTAATTATGGTTATCGGCAAAATCCCAGAAAATATCGAGATATAATTTTTTGTCAATATCGCACACCCCTACTATATTGTGAACGTCCAGCAGTGTGCTGAGTGATGCTGGCTGTGGATCTGTGATGGTCAATGTAAGTGAGGTATCAGGAGCAGCACTGACCTTTTGCACCACGTTCTCCTTCTGCATCTGACTCTGTCTGAGCTTCTTCAGCAGCACCAGGCGAGCCTCCTCCAGACGCAGCTCCTCTCTCAGAGCTTTGATCATCTGCTGCCTCTCCTCTCCGGTCTTCCCCTGGAACAAACAAACCAATCAGCACACACACACAAAACCAGTGACACATGGTAACCAGATGGAAAATTAAAGGCAGCTTATTATACACCTTTGAGCTGCGTAGCCTGCCAAAAATAAAATGGTTAAGAGAATGAAAAGCAGCCATGCCATGTGTCATTAATATGTAGGGAAGCCCTGTGGTGCATGGATTCATTAATTATGTTGATCAATTCAGACATGTAAATTTTTCTTAGTATATTTTTGCCTTTATTAAGATGGAGACAGTAAAGGAGAGACAGGAAACGGGGTGAGAGAGAAAGGGAATAATATGCAGTAAATGGTCCAGCTGGCCGAAGTCCTTCTGAGGACCTGCTGCTCAAGGCAAATATGCCAATGTGCTATGCTCCTTACCATTCAGCTATCGGGTTGCCCACAGAGACTTTCATCAGTCCAGTGTCTGACATGGGAGAGTATTTCCTAAAGCTGTGCATTCGTGCAGTGGGTTAAGTTACCTTAAACATGTCCAGGTTGGCCTGGTGTAGGCGCTCCTCAGGACGAGGTGTTGTTCTGGGACTGGATGCTTCATTGTCTGATAGGATAATAACGTCTGGAGACGGAGTTCGTCTGTCATGCTCCACATCACTTCATGGAAAAACAAGAAAAACAAAATTATTTCCATCTTGTTGAACATCTTAAGTGCACTTTCCTCATCACTGATATCAATCTCTCAAACATTGATCTGAGTGTGAACATCTGGGGCTGACTGAAGAGTTGATCAGCCACTTGCTCAGTTTAGGACTTTAAAGATTTGAGTGGCACTTCCCACTCAAAGTGGTATCTTATCTGCCTTGGACCAGCTCTTAGCAGAAGTCCAAGAAGTCCAAATTTCTTTCCTCCTATTCCTTTTCTCTCTAATCATTCATTTACATCTATAAATGTCACTCATATTATTTTTATTGTACCAGTAACACATCTGGTCTCTCCACAACACCCCACGTCTCTTTTCCACCCACCGCTTCCTTGTTGTGGGAACTGCAGCTGTAGACTATTTGCTATGTCAAGTGTTGATGTTATGATTTGGCACTATATAAATAAAACTGTAATCAAATTTTTTTTATGTTTAAATACTTTAAGCATTGATACACCTCTCTGCTTATGTTAGACACTGTATTTTTTCCTGAATGCTGTAAATATTATTTTGCTTTGCTAAAAATGACATGTAGTGCACTTCTGTTCCTGCTGGGAGAGGGATCCCTCAGGCTATATCTACACTACTACATATTTGTAGAAAACATTTGTTCTTTTGGCTCTGTATCAGTTTTAATCCCTGTCCATTCTAACACCCCTGAAAATATAAATCATATGAGCCCTCAGAAAAAAAAGTGCTGCTAATAGATGCACTGTATGAATGTGTGCGAATGGGTGAATTGCAAACTGTAGTGTAAAGTGCTTTGAGTGGTCATCAAGACTAAGAAAAACGCTATATAAATACAAACCATTTACCATTTATGTAAATTTGGCATGTGTGTACCGTTGTTAACAGGAAGGCAGGCGTGTTCCACTCAGGTCTTGCTAGACACGGGAATTTCTGCAGATTGCTTGAATAATAGCTCATCACCTACACGTGTAGAATTTAACTGCATGAGCAGAGGATGTCACACTTTAAACCTGATGATGATTTGAGAATGAGCTAAATAAAATGTGTCCTTTTTAGTGAAAAAAATTCAACTGTCTAAAGATCACCTCAAACATTTTGTTATCTCATAAAACAAATGACCTCTAAAAGTTTTCGAATCATAAAGAAGATTTCTTAACACCCATTAACTCCCAATCCCAGATTACCAGCAGATATCTGTTTCAGAGGGACCTTTATTCAGATTTCTCTTAGATAAAGAGCCATTGTGCTTCTTTATGTGTAAATACTAAATTCTCACCATCTTCTCCCAGCACTCATATCCACTGGCTCATCAAGGATGTTTTCTTTCCCATTCTTACTGGGTCCAACATGGCTGCCAAGGCCACCATGGCCTCCCAGCCTTAGACTCCCATTGAGTTTCTCTTCATATGCAGCACCCATTAGGCTCTGGTGGTGGAGGGAGCTGGCTCCAGGGCCCTTCCCATCTCCCAGGGGCCCTCCGACCTCCAGGGCTGCTAGGTCAGCTAGGTCCTTGCGTTTTAGCAGTGCCAGCATCTTGAGGCGCTCCATGGCCTCGTGACCCTCCATTTTGAGGCGCTTAGCCAGCGCCTCCTCTCGCTCGCTGGGGGACTCCAGGCCTCGCTTCAGCAGGTTTAGCCTCAGCGCCTCCTCAGACATCCGCTCCATCCTGAAGGAGAGTGCACAAGGGTTAGAGCCAAATCAAACACCAAGCTAATTTAACACTCAAGACACTATTCAGTTTTTTACATTGTGGAATGGTCAAATGGCTACAAAACCTCTTGCCTTTCCAAACTGACAATCTGACATCACACCCAGCCCAGTCTCTGATGTGTCAGCTGTGTAGAGGTGAGGAACAGGTGGAGGTGAGTTTTATAAAAACTACTATCAAGTCTAAAGACACTTACAATACAACTACAATAGGGAAGATGGGGATCAAACTGCCAATTTTCTGGGAAGAGGTCGACCCGCTGTATATGTCCTGAGCCACAGCCATTATTGTTACTTAAAGCTACAGTGTGTAGCATTTGAAGATTTAGTTGAAATGTGCTCTAACTCTCAACCTATAGAGGTACTGTCAGACATTCTGGTGACCCAGTCTAATTGAAAACCTGGCAGCAGATATTATTCAACAGCTTCTGATCTACTCATCCCAAACTGAGGCTTCTGGTTAGTATTAACTTGTGGAATTCCTGCATTAGCTTATACAGCGAAAAGAAGGACATAGGTGGAGGACTAGGTTGAGCTTTGCGGAGCAGAAAGAGGGGGGGGTAGAGTGGTTTGCTTTCCAGTCTCACAATAGCACTGGCTTGATTTTGAAGAAAATTTTGATCCTAAAGATTATTATTACAAGTCAGAACTTTTTGCTCATCTTTTTTGCTTGTATCTGTTTCTACTTGGTGTTAACACATGATTAGTTTTTAACATTTAAAAAAATATACACATTGATCAAAGTGCTAAACAATTAAATTATGGAGCTACTTGATTGATGATTACAAAAGCTGAATGTAATGCAGGTATAAATACAGACACATGAGAATACCATCTGATCAGCCAGACCACCACCTCTTGAGATAATAATCAGGTGTAATATGCACAATCTGGAGACAAATCCCCACGACATGGCTTTGGTCCGAACATGAACAAGAATGACAAGGTGCAGACAGCAATATGTAATCTATTCAAACAATGTATGTAAGGTGACATGTTCACACAGCATATATGGTCTACACTAATCAATATAACCACAGTGGCCAGAGAATCAGTGCAGTGACACCAGGATGCAACAGGGATAAAGAATTAATCAGACAATCTGAGAAACTATAAACTCACTCAGTTGGAAGTAGGTTAAACACAGCAGTCTAAGAATAGCCTGAATCTCTCTACTTGATGGGGACAAATACATTTGAGAAATGTTTTATATCTGTGTGTGTGTAGCCACGTGATTAATACCAGCAAGGAAGGATGACAAACCAGGTCTTAGCATCTTAGTCATGTGACCAACTTTAGACTGGGTGCTTACCGAGAAGTGCAAATGCTGCAGCTGAGCACAAGTTGTACAAGGAAGTGACCAAGCACAAATGCTCACAGTACTTCCTGCAGGTCCTCTCTCAAATACAGCCCCTCGGTAAACTCTGCTGGAGATGTTACAGAGCACTAAGGGAAGCCTACAGTATGTATGGTTGTAGTCTTTTATATTAACCAGGAGCATGTCCTCTTTACGGAGGCCACCATGTTTTTTGAGGCCACCATGTTTTTTGCAGTAGTCCAAACAACAAACTAAACACCTTTTGAGTTTTTATGACAACTGAAGGTTCTCTGTCATGTTTGGAAGGGGAGGGTGAGGTGAGGGGTAGTCAGCTGCAACATGTAACTTCACCACTAGATATCACTATATTCTATACACCAAACCTCTAGGGTAAATCCACACTATTAAGTTTTTGTTTCCAAACACATCACTTCACAATGGGCATAAATATTATTCACACACGACTCTTCCAAACCTGCAAGGTAGCAGCAGCTAGTAGCTGTTAGCCAGTAAACACACAAGCATTCCTCCCCTCAGTCTTCAGACCAATCGAAAATCAAGAAAACACAGTAAGACAGTAGCACAGATGCTACCATCTTCTTCTTCTTCTATCTTTTTTGGGGGGGGGGGGGTTTGGACCTGCGCAAATGAACTGGACAGAGTGATCAGATCAGATCTCAATGTGGACACTGGATACATTAATAACAAGTTTAAAACACACTTTCATGCTAGGTCTAAATGGAGTCCTCTGAATGTGGGCTGAGCAATTGGATCTCAAATCTGTCTAAATGCATCTTGGGTGTGTTTATACCTGTACTTGGAGCTGACCACCAGCAGAGACCGATGTTAATGTTAAATGGTAAATGGACTGTATTTATACAGCCCTTTCCTAGTCTTATCGACCACTCAAAGCACTTAACACTACAAGTCACATTCACACACACATTAATATATTGCTGTTCTATCGCACACGACACTGTCTGTGAAGCTGTTGGGGGCAATTTAGAGTCCCTACACTTCTTTTCTTCAGACTGACTCTCAGCATTGACGCTCCACAGGACTATGTGCCATGTCCCCTCCTCTACTCTGTCTACACTTATAACTGAACAGGACTGCACAGGATTTCCAGTTTGAAATTTCTGGGAAACCACATCACACAGGACCTCACACAGGGCCTGCTCCGTTATAGCAAAAATCCTTATCACGATTATTTTGGTGAATATTGTAATGATGAGTGTTTAACACAATTACTCATTGATTTTGGAAACATCACGCATTTACTGAAATATAAATCATTTTGCCGCCCATGTAAAATGATTCAATTGCATTCACTGCCTGAGTGAACAGTGCGGTTCAGCTGCGGCTCAGCAGTGTGAACCGTGCTGCTCTTCTGCAGATTCCAGATCTCGCCTATTTTCTTCACGTACAGCTCACGGTTCACAGCAGAACAGACAGAGAAAATGATCTTTCAGCAAAGTTTCAATGTTTGTCTGTGGAATATGTCACAAATGTTAAATATTTACAACACTTCCTCTCCCTGTTTCAAAGTTTCTGTTGACTGAATCCACTAATTTGATTTAACAAGGAAATACAGTCGTAATAGCAGGAAACAAAGAGACACTCAGCAGAAACAATGCTTATGACAACAACAGATAAACATGACATGCAGCAGAACCAAGATTCAAGATTGTTTTATTTGTCACATACACAATCATACACAGTACAATGCGTAGTGAAATTGTTTTTGTTCCTTCTACCAGAATAGTAATACATTTAAATATGAAGAAAATAAAGACTAAAACTTAAAAAAAAACAAAAAAAAACGTTAGAAGTATTTAAAAAGAAAAGTGTTTAAAAAGTTATGAAGTGTTAAACGGTTATTTTTGCCTTAATGCTATAAAGTGTCCAGTGAATAATAATAATAGATATTAAATATTGACATGTGAAATTTACAGTATTGAATATAAACATGTGAAATTTACAATATTGCAGTATATATAGTATTCCAGTGCAGGTGATTGAAATAGTCCAGTTCAATGCTCACTGTTGAGCAGACGGATGGCCTGTGAGAAGAACATCAGCTTTTCCTCATCTTTCCTCATACGCATTACTCACGCAGGCAGTGTGGCCCGGCATCAAAAGGCAACACAAAATGAGAGCCTCATTCCAAAAAGAAAGATAATAAGTATTTTATGTCAATTACTTTGTTTTTATAATTGTTGTAAGTCATAATTGCAATTAAAATATAATGAATTGCCCAGACCTTCCTGCACTGCTAAAGAAGGCACAACAATGGCTCTCTCAATGGGAATTTCAGAAAACCCTCTCGTCCATGAGGTTACTTGTGCCATTCTATCACTGTTACATAGAGAGCTTACTAATGTACTGCATCCCAGTGTGGTATGCTTGTTCAAAATCTGAACAGACAGCTCTCCAGAGTCATAAACAGTGTCCAGGACATAATTGGCCACTCCCTGCCCTCACTGGATGACGTCTTCAGATCATTCTGCCTCCAGAGCCGGCAGCATCTAGAGAGACACAACTCTCCCCTGCCACCATGTCTTCAGCCAGTTGCTAATTAACTACAGGGCCATGGGGCATCTTATTTTAGCTAGTAAGGATGTAGATTTATTGTAAGTGCGGCTCCCATTGATCAAAATTGTGCTCAATGGCATGGTTTCGTAAGTCAAAATCCCATTCATTTTCTGAATGGAGATTTTGATTATCAGCCATTATATTGAAACAATCCAAGGTAGACTTGCCACAAGCTATGCGATTGTGAAACAATGTTATAAGCTCATGTAGGAGCTACACGTATGTATGATGTCAAATGTGTTTTAAGAAATACTTGTTTTATTCACAATGTCAAAGAGAAGTACTACACTACCCACAATCCCCAGTTGTAAAAGCGACATCTCTAATTGGTGGAGTTCGCTCTTGCCGATGAAATGTTTACCACAATTACATAAATCATGTTGCCTATGATCGCATTGTTCAGTGTGCAATCACCTTTACCACAGAGTTACCATGACTTCCCCTTTTAACTTACTGGGGTCTTTCACAAATGAGGAAACGAGTCTAAAGGGGTGAGCATCACTACACGTTAGGTCATGTATTGGAAGGTAGTGTAAAGCTGTTTTCAGGCATGTAAAATCTGGAGAATTGGCTACTGAGTTTAACCACAGTTTGCCTCACACACGTGAACAACGCAGCGGGAGGTTTGCACAGAAACATTCACAACAGCAACAAATGCTCTGCATCATTCAGGAGAGAGGTGGAGCAGCCGGGTACAGCAAACAGAGGCAAGAAGCAACCACAAACTCTTGACATCTTCAACAATGTGTGTATCACCGCTTTTTCACTGGGAGATATTTGTTTTCCTTTTGTTTGTTTTTTCCTTTTTGCATCTGTCACGCATTAGAAGCGGCATCAACCACCCTCACTCGCTCGTGGTGAATCCAGGGGGGATCCCCTGCTGTGTTCACACAATGACTTCTCCTGGATTTCTATGGACTAGGAGGCCAGGCAGATCAAGTCCTCAGAAACTGCAGAGCGTCTCACTTGGACATTTACGTTCACACATGTACCTCCTCCAGAGAAAATACAGAGGATCTGCGGTGTTCAGTGCATGTCTGAAAGCATCTGATGTGTGTGGGCTGCAGGCTAACTTTTTACATTGGTTGCACCAGTGTGCCTAACCTTTTCATTTAGTTGCACCAGCACATAATTTAGGTGCACCCTAAATTTTGCATTGCAGGCTTTTATAACTGCAATAATACCCCCATTAGATCTTTTCTTCACAGTTCCCCCATTGGCAATTTCTTAAGGGCTGGGTATCGCCACTGATTTCCAAAAATCATTTCGATTCCAATTCACAAGGTCTCGATTAGATTTGGTCTCCAATTCGATTCAATATTGATTATTTAAGGATATTTCACTGTTGTACAATACCATTATTGCTTGGATATAAAATAAATCAGAGAGCTGAAGCTATAAACTGTGATAAAAAACCTCTAACTTGGTGCATTGATAAAAATATTAGGGTAGGCCTGTCACAATAACACATTTTGTTGGACAATATTTTGTCCCAGAAATTGTGATAAATTATATTATTATCATATACGTTATCATTGTGAAACCATTTTAAACCACTGATATAACGATAATATTATAGCCTAATCATCCAAGTTCACTGTTTCAAACAGCAATGTACTTAGTTCTAAAGAATATTCAGTCCGACATTTGAATTAGAATTAAAAATATTAAAAAAATATTAAATATAAAACCCACAACCAAAACAATAAATAAAATGGACTCTATGGCTCTGTTAAAAAAATGCTCATGAATAAATATGAAACATTTGGCACAGAATATACAGTATGTAACCAGCTCAGTAAACTGGATGTGATGTTATGAATTTAGATGAGCTTATAGGTATATATTGCATTAGTTTAGTATTTTGTCTTTAGTATTTAGTCAGCATTTTCTATAGGATTTGGTGTGTGTGTGGACTTATACATTTGTGAGGACCATTTTGAGCAGTCCTTACAGAGTGAGACATTTCTGACAGTCCTCACTTTTTCATAGTCTTGTTTGGTTAAGACTTGGTTTTCAGGTTAGGGTTAGATTTAGTTTTAGGTTAGGGGCTGGCAAATGCATAATGCAGATTAGTGTCCTCACTAAGATAGAAGTACAATGTATGATGTGTGTCTGCTTGTCTAGGTCACTAGGATACACAAGCAGACAATCACATTTATTTAGTTATTAATCGAGTGTGTCCATGAGTCCAGAACGTCACTTTAGCACTGAGAGTGGACTTTTTTGTGTCAGTGTGTTTAAATAAGCGCCTCATAAACTCTGGAGTGAATCAAACAAACTTCAGCACTGTTCAGGTCCTAATAACTTGGGATCAGTGTTGGTGTTAATTGTTAAAGTGCCAGCAGGGGTGTGGAGGGAAGACATTCAGACAGGTGACTCTCCGCTTCACTGTCTCTGTGTCAGTGTGTGAGTGTGTGGGGGCGGGGTCAGCCCAGGGCCTGTGTGTGTTAACTCCGCAGAACAGATGAGAAGAGGAAGCGAAACGAATTGATCAAATACAGTGACACACCAGCTTAATGTTTGGCGCACCCGTGCGACCAAGGACATTATTGTCGCACCGATTTTTGGTTGCATTTTTTGGAGCCCTGGTTCCAGCTTGTAGGTCCTATCAGGGTTTTGCAGGATGGGTAAATAGCTAGTCAACACTAGGTTACTTAACTATACAGTATATATGAAATGCTATATACAAGACACAAACTAACTAACAATATATTGCAACACTATATTGACAACAAGGTTTATTGAAGATGAAGAGCACTTCACACACTCTTTTTTTTTCCATTTTCCAATATTGTTTTCACACGATTTAAAAGCCTCTTAAAACTGCTCTTATACGGATTTTCAGAATTATTTTCGGAACCAGAGCCATTCTTAAAGTGGGCAGTTACACTCTATTGGCCCCAAATATTGCTGAACCAATAATGAATTATACAAGAATTGTAATACAAGTTCAGACATGAGTGTGGTCTATGAATGACATTCACTGGCATTGTCTTTGCTATTAAAAAAGACACATCAAACCTCTAAAACACCACAAGATATACACATGTGAAAAGACTGGGACCAGTGGTGGGAACTAGATCTGCAGGCTACTCCTCCTTTGTGACAGACGGTACATCTTGCGTGTGTCCAGACAACATGCAAATGGATGCTCCCAGCACTGCACAATGGCATCAACCACACCACCTGGATTAACACTGAAAAGGAAAAAAAAAATCCTTTCGGTGGAGAATCAGTGACTGTTCAGGCAGGGACTTAATTGGCCGGTTATCTCTTCATCAGCCTTCTATTAGCAGATTATTCCTGCTGTTGTCGTTCTATCGTATCCCCTCATCTTCTGTATCATGGTGCTCTAATCGGTTCTTTCTGTCCTCCTCTAACGTCTGTTATCCTCCTCTCATCTACAGCAGCCTCTTTAACACAGGGAGGAGTCTTAATGATCGTACAATACGACCCGACCCGCCACTTCTTCTTCTCTAATTAATTTGTGACGCAGCAGCGGGGCCCAGTCGTCGCCTCCATTTGCTGAGAAAAAACACAAGCAGCTTCTGCAACCTCTCTGCCAAGCCTCCACCTTTAATGAGACACAGAGTGCTGCTGAGAATGGAGCTGATGAGCCAATCAGGGTTGGCCTTGTGCTGCGCGTCACTAACAGGCACCCCGCACCCTCCCCCTATCCCCTCCACCCCCCCACTCCCCGGCCACCGCCGCCGACTGCCTTTACATAATATAATGACTGTTTCAGTCAGCTGCTACATAAGCCACACACTCTTTCTCTTTAACCCCCCCACCCCATATTCCCATAATCCCTCCTACCACCTCCCACCCACTCCACCCCTCTAGTTTTGGGCACTCTGCCAGGCCAAAGCAATAATGGAAAAGAAGAGAGAAAGGAGACATGGCGATGGAGAGGTAGAGAGAGACTGGGTGGAAGTTGATAGAGGGTGAATGCTGCTTCCACCTAAAGAAATGATCACACCATAAAACCAACATCAAGAAAAAGTTGGACAGGTAGACATTCAAAATCTTATGTAAGACCCTTTTGACTGGTAACAAAGTAATAGCACTGAAGAAGTAGCCCACGATCATAAAACAGTAAATAGATTGTGTCCAGACATCCATCTACAGCACAGCATTCCAACAGAAGGCAGAATTTTGTAACCCCCCTCTCCTGCTCCAGCTGTACAGTACCACAAAGAAAATCCTCCCTGCTCCTCTACCCTCCCCCAGTTCCCCAAACCTTCCGTCTTTTCCTCCCCCCCTCTTTCACTGTAAAAATAAACACATGCTTACTTTCAGGGGCCCCTTAAATGTAGCCAGAGCTGAGGGCTTCATTTGTTCATATTACACTGGCCAATCAGGAGTGGATATGAAGTGTGTGTAGGCATGTGTGCAGGAGCATGTCTGTGTGTATGGGGGGTAATAAAGGAGTGACAAAGCCAAGACACACTGAGAGCAGAGGGAGTTTTTTCTTTATCTTGTGCTATCCTTGCTCAAGTCTTTGTGTGTTGGCTGTGTCCGTATGTCCGTGTGTGTGTATGTGTGTATGCGCGCGTGTGTATGCGCGTGTGTGTGTGTGTGTGTGTGTGCGTGCGTGCGTGCGTGCGTGCGTGCGTGCGTGTGTGTGTGTGTAAGGCTAGAAAAGAGGCAGGGATGGCAGCTCTTTCCTGACATAATGCCAACTCTTAATTCCCTCCTCCCATCCCCCTCTCTCTCTCACACAGACACACACACACAAACACACACACACTGTTCTTTATGCACAGAGCTGTCGATCAGATGGCTGCAGCTAAAATGTCCTCCTCAGAATGAATGCAGTGGTGTTCCTCACATTCACACTGTAAGTCAACAGGAAAGGGCACCCTCCTGTCCTGGTCCGTCCCTTTCTGTCCTGTGTGGCTCAACACCAGGTGAACAGTGTTTGCCAAACGGGCCCACTGCCAGCTGACTGAGTGTAATAGTAATAAGGCCATTTGCAACTGCACTGTGGAATCTGCTGCTCATTTCATGCATGATCTGCATCATGACAATCCATTTGGCCGAAGCAATTCAATTCCTCCCAGTCTGCCCTGTGTCTCTCAACCACCTTCTCCGCCTCATGGACTTTTTACAAACGACCAGGGAAGCATTCCCCTGTTCATTTTTCAACTGTTTGATTCGTCGATGTCAGGCTTATCACTGAGGTGCAGAAGCCAGATGGGTTAGGTCTGACATCCCAACTCTACCAAAAGATTAAACAAGAAAAAAAAAGCTGCAAATACTGATCCGGTGCTGCAATATCACTAAACACCTCCAGTGGTGTCATTAAGCGACCTTCAAAATGGTGGTGATGGGTATAAAATGGTGGCATTGACACAAAATTGGCATGACCCTTAACTAGAGCGTTAGCGGTTTTGGGGGCCAATACTGATAGGGAGTAAAACAATTCCAATACAGATATATTGGATTATGTTTACGAGTCCGGATTTATAAGGACATTAAGTGCTATTATCATGACAGAGGAGGTTAAATTCTGGTAAAATGGATTTAAGTGTGGGATTTGATTAAGGCCAAATCCACAGTGCTTGTTCATGTGGGAACTGTTAGGTTTCTCTATAATTTTAAGGTCTCGGCCTTACTATATAATGTGCCTTTATACAATGTATATTATGATGTGGCGCAATACAAATAAATTTGAATTGAATTATGAATAAACTGAAAACAATCCTGTGTTACAACAGCAGGAGGGTGTGTTTTGTTGTACCTGTGAGACATTGAAGAAGAAGATTTGGCGCTGCAGATTGATGTGTAGTGTAGGTCAAACTCCAACACCGCTGGATCTGCATTTGCTACAGTGAAACAAAATGTAATTTTTTAGGCAAATTGTCAGCAAAAACTGTAAAATGCCCTTGAGAATTTCATGAAATGCAATTTTTACATGTCATTTAGCTGATGCTTTTATCCAAACGACTTCTACTCAGTGCATTCAACATCTATGAGGTGCCAAATTATGTTTTTGGTGCATGTTCTGCAGACACCAGACCAATCAGACCAATATCCATCTATTTTCAAACTGGTCAAACCACTCACAACCATTTACCATCCAGAAGCATTTTCATTAACAACCAAGATGGCTGCCACTGATGTGGAGAGGTCTGATGAATCTATTATAGACAGTAACAAAGTAGACCCTATATTTACTCAAACAACTGTAAACTGTAGTCTAGTTCAATTTTTAAGTCGCTCTGTGCTGTGTGTCACATTTCAATGATCTGACTGGTTGTAGATCTGTCCTGCGACTCTTGGTAACACCTGTGAAAATCTATCTCATCTAAAACTCACTGAGAGGTTTCAGAACCATTGTGAAATGAGAAATGGTTATGTGACGCCCGTTTCTAGGGCTTATAAACCATAATTTGACCACACGTCAGACTAGCTCATCTTAGAAGGCTACAGTGCTGTCGCTGACAAACCAAACCCAGTTTGCATGTTGCACCTACATCTGGGTGACTGCTTTGGTTGATGTGGGACAGTTTTTTAATGATAATTAAAAATATATTTTTGTTGTGGTTTACCAGGAAAGCCCTTCCTGTGCATTTTATGATTAGTACATGTACTCGACATATATCAATATAACTGAGATACACAAAAATCTTAGATAATTTAAAATTTCATGCGTAAAAGAAAAAGGAGGAAAATGTACAACTACAAGAGAGTTAAAAGGCTGTTTTTTGCTCTGCTTTACTGGTGCAATCAGACTGTTCACCAGTTAAGCATTGACTTAAAGTTTGAATTGAATTGATGATGGGAACAAAATGGCTGCCGTGTCATAATCGGAGCAAGATCCGGTAAGACACATGATACCTGCAGCCAACATTGACAGTCTGTATCATGTAGCATATAGCATGACTGCATCCATCAGTATATAGGTCATGTTAACTGTGGCAATGCTGAGATTTAGGCTGTGCGTACAGTGGGGCTTTGTGCTGAGGTCAAACAGGGTGAGCAGCAGGAAGATCTGTACTCTCAACGTACACAGCATCCAGCTGCACTGCTCCAGCACTGCTTCAATGACCACTGGAGACCTTTTAGACTGATGTGTCTGTTTTTCAGCAGATGTGTTCATCATATAGTTTAGACTACAGCTTAACAGTTGTTTTTGCCAACATCTTGGGTGTTTTACAGCAAAACACAGAGGTGGGGGACATCCAGCCTCCAGAACATTTGATCTGGCCCGCACTACAATTCATGAACACACAAAAGTATCTCAGAAATTCCAAAAGATCTCATGACAGCATTTAATTTTTATGAGTAAGACCTCATTTTGTTGCTTCTTAATGGGAACAACTATATATTGACTTCAGCTGCATAAAAAAACACAGTGACCACTGGGAGCAGGAGGTAAACAAAAGTCTGGGCCATCTCTCCTTCATTTCTCACATTAACTGCAGAGATGTAAAATCTGTTGTTCTGAATTTGTGCAGAATAAATTAAATGCATGGTCTGACAGTATCCAGCAGCCAGTTGTAGGATGGTGTGAACATTATCCATCTCTGTTGTGGACTATATTGGGTTCACAAGAGTCACATGAAAATGTATTAATACACCAATTGAACCAATTTTAACCAGCTCCCAAATAGCCTGTTGCCTCACTGAGTGTCCATTCACTTGAAATGAGTGTCAGAAATGTTACAACCATAAAAAACAAAAAGCAAAAGTTACCAACACACAACAACCAACACAGTAAGAGTTGCATTGGTCGGAGTGTGTGTATACCTAAGTGTTGCATATATGTGGGAGATGCAGACGTGAAACTATAGCAGGCCTTGATAACTATTTACTTAAGAGAAAGAATAAGGATAATTTAATAAATCAGACCAAATATTAACTACTATCTACTGATTCCAGAATTCTCTGTGTGTCTGTGGCTAGCATATCTCGACAACTGCTCATCTTATCAGGTTCACACTCATATGTACTGTCAAGTGCCGAAGGAAGTGCAGTGTTGTTTTAGTGTGATTTGGACACAATATATTTTATTGTGTGCCGTGAATGCAGCTGTTGCCGGGAACGTGCTGTTGTCATGATCGACAACGTCACGTTGATGAGTCCCAGCCACTGCTGCTACAGAGCACTGGTCGGCTGTTTTTTTAAATCAATACTGAACAGAACGTGTTTTCAAATTGCACCAAATTTGACACATCACTTCAGTGCAGAAGTTAACATTACTGAATATAATATAAACACTTCTTGCTTATAAAACTGTAGGTACTGTATCTACTTGATAGAGACATTTACTGTAATGATCACCCTGAGCAATACAACATACAGAAGTGAGTCTGCTCACTTCTCTTCTCCTCTGTTTGTGTTGACAAGACATCAGCCTGACATCTGCAGACAGCATTTAGATGTTGTTCACTGCCCAGCAGAGGCAGACTGGATAAATTAGTATTCATATACTGTTCAGTCGACTTCCACAGCCTTGCATCTCTTAACCAGAGATAATATCAACAAACATGAACACATTTTTTTTTCGTAGTCTATCAGCAGAATCAGTTGACCATTCTGAGACACCGCAGTCCAGTAAAATGAGGGAGGTCCACATAGACTGTATTTATTTATGTCGCTGTAACAGGACTGTGGTGACTCAAAAGTGGTCCAAAAGTATGCTTTCATGCAGAAAGGGACAAATTCAAATACTGATCTTCAAATAATCATTAGTAACAGGCAGCAAGACTGTACTGCGACACTACATAGGTGGAGTATTTTTTGGCACCAGCTCCTCATCTTCCATGCCACCAACTCATGTGGAATAGTTTTTAAATACATCAAGCATGTGATATGTGATATACATGTGATATAATTTGGCCAATCAGCACAGCCATTTAACAGGGGACTATTCTGTTGGTTTGTGAACATAGCGTGGATAAACGGGAAAAAAAACAAAAACGGTAGCAGACCATGTATAGTTGATACAATGGGAATATCTCCATCTCTCTGATTTACAAGCAAAGTAGTTTGTGGACATCTTTAAGATCTATAAAATAAAGGTTCCTAAGATCGCCCACCCCCAATCTTGTGTAAAAATAATGCTCTCCATACAATTAAACAGCTATGCAAAACTGGGCTGAAATCCAACATTTTGCAACAACATTACAAACCTTTTATTTTTATTGGTTGGTCTTACAGTATGTATTGTGTGATTTATTTGAATGATAACAGAACATAAGCTGATAGCCCTCAACAATACATATTATTCATCCCGCACTTGCCTCTGTCACACAAAGTGTCCTGCGACCAACACTCAGCAGGAGGTGATGCTATATAACAGAAATAGAAAGTGATCTTTCTGCATTTAAGTCATGGGTGTTGCAGTATTTCAGCAGAAATAATGAAAGACCTGCTGACAAGGCAAAGAATGCTTGTTAGACTACAAAGATGACAACAGAGAACGAAACCAACATCAGCACTCATCCCCAACTCTGCCATATAGACCTAACAAAGGGAAAGGACTGAAAAACACCAAGCAATCTGCCACTAAAACAAACAGCACTGTTCAAATCATTGACACTCCTCTTCAAAAATCAGCATGTGAAATCAAGAATAACTAAAGCAACTGGCTACTTTAATAACTGAACCACAGGCCTTAACTAAAGTCCAAGTTGAGAGGTTTTGAAAGTAGCCTACAGTGCTGGAGCAAAATTGCCAGGTTCCATCATGACAAGACTTTTCTGTTGTCATACAAATTGTCCACAGGAATCCTAGACTCTACGTTGGGGACAGACAGGTGAGACACCCAGGCTACTCAGTGCTACTCTCAGCAAGCACTTTATTAGGAACACCTGTGTATTGGAAACTGTTGCTGATCTAACCACAGCCCTTCAGGAAATTACCAACTAGGAGCGGTTGTGGCTCTGAAGGTACAGCCAGTCATTCAATAATCTGTAGGTTGGTGGTTCCTCCTGTCCCTGGGTAGGACAGTAGTAACTTCTGTACGAATATGTGTGTGAATAGGTGAATAACATGAAGGATAATGTGGTGGATACCCTTAGAGAAAAGATATATAATTACAGTAAATTTACCACAGGTAGCTACCATCTGGTTTCTTTAGTCATTTCTAGAAACGATGGAGAGATGTCCAGGAACAACCCCTCCCTGTGCCAAGGTAGGAGGTAGTGGCTGATGCATCTCTACAGTGTGCACACACACACACACACACACACACACACACA